TGCCCACGTGGCATGGCGTTCCAGGAATTGCCTTTAGAGTCAAAAATCCCTTTTCAATTTTATTTTTGAATTTATTTTTTTTTAATGTATTTCCAAGCATTGACGTTTGGCTGGAGGGAGGCTGAGGTTTCGGAGCGGGTCTGCGGGATGTTGTATTCCTCTCCAGCTCACACGAGGGAGCCTGACTCAGAGCGGCGTTATTTGTGTCCTTGCTTCCCCACCCTGCATTAGGGGGAAGGAGAGAAAAAAAAAAAAAAAAAAGCAGCATACTTTGCTTTTTCTACTTCACTTTTTTTGCCTTTTTATATACCGCTACCCTCAAGCTACCAGCTCTGAGTGGCAAGCACAATTTTTAGAAACCCCGTTGGGGCTAAAGAAAACAAATCTTGAAATTCTGTGGTGGTTTTTTAAAAACAAACGCTATTCTAAGGGAGAAAGGTTGCCAGCGTGCTCGCTCCCCGCCTCGGCGCTGGCTGGGTGCTTCCACGGGGGCTGTCAGGCAGCAGCGCTCGAGGCGTCGGGTGGGCTGGGGTTCTTTTTTGCTGCAAAATCCTCATGTTTGGATGAATGCCTGTGACCTCAGTTGCCCACCTCAGCAGAAAGGTTAAACCCAGCAAGCCGAGCTGGCCCGGGGTCTCCCTCGCCCCTCAGCCAAACTCAAGCCCTTCTTGCCATTTGCAGTGGGGGTGTTAACGCTCAGTCTATGCTTCCCCATATGCCGCAAGCTGTCGGGTTGCGTGAACGCAGCGCCCGGTGCCCGATTTCCCAATCTGCGCTGCCAGAAAGGGTGGCGTGGAGGTTTATTTTTACCTGCTATTTCTTCCCCCCACACACACCTCCCTGCTCCTCTGCCGGCCCTGAACCAGGCTGGGGGTGCTGAGGGGTAAGGTGCTGCCACCAAAAATGGGAATAATCCTTGTAACACCAATGTAGTGTTAAAAGGTGCCGGATGCACGGGGGATCGCTCCACCTAGCATGCATCCCTCTGTACTATCTCTTACAGTTTAAATACATGTTCTAGATGAATATTCATGGTTTATACAAACTATTCCTAGGAATAGGTGGAGAGTTCTAAGAAACCATTAACATATTGTCCCTCCTTTTTACACATGCGCAATCTGTTCTGGTGGTCGCATCTGGGGGTCTTTTGGATGAAGGCAAAACGTCTTCTTCACAACTTTCAAGGCTGGCACATCCTGCCAACTGTCCATCTGTTACTTCTCTTCCTTCATCTTCTATGCGCCGTTTGTTCTTGTTCCTCCTAGTCAAGCAACGCTGACAAATTGTCATTATCTTTTTGCTTTATCCTCTCCCGATTCCTCCCGTCATTTAATAAGGTTATAAATTTACTAAGTAACTACTGACTTTAGCAAAGCATCAGCAAACTAGACAATAAGGCCTAAGTCTTATGCATGTAAGCATCATTGTTAACTTTAGCCCTTAAGGCATCGTTGCCACTGGACTCAGGGAGGGAAGAGGCGTCGCGGCCCTCTCCTCACAGCCCCGCCGCCATGTTGGCCCCCCCGGTCGCCTAGCAACCCCCCCTTCCCCTCCAAGATGGCGGCAGGAAGGGGTTGAGGAGCTGACGCGCATGCGCGGAGGG